TTTTTAATTTTTTTTTAAGGAACTATTTATCGTCTGACAATAAATCCGAATTATATTTTAATACTTAAAAAAATAAGTTTTGGGTTGAGAGTTTTTTAAGTGTTGCCAACATAATTTTTTTTTTTTTTTTTTTTACATAAGTCAAGGTTCCTTATGCCAAAATATTATTACAAACACAATGCTTACACGCTAAATTTTTATTTTTGTTTTTGTTTTCTTTTTTTTTTTTTTTTTATAAATGTTTTGTAAAATTAATAAATTGTTTATAAAAAAAATATTTATTTCGTTAATGGTAATTCAATGATTTTTTTTTTTTTTGTATAAATTTATAACTTGTTTAAATTTCAAAACAATTGTTTTGGTAAAAATTACAGTTTACAACCAGGATGCGTTAGTAGAGATTTCATTTGACACTTGCAATTGAATTATTTGCCAAGAAATTATGCCGCCACTTTTACTTTTATTTAAAATATTACTTATATCGTATACATTTTATAGTAATGATAAAAACTTTTCAGTTTATTAAACCTTAAAAATAAAGGATAAATATTTTATTTATTTGTCAATTAAAATCATAATTTTTTCTTTTTTATTCCAGAGATTAATGTAAAATAAGTTATTCATGCATATGGTTATATAATGGGTACAAAAATATCATTAAACTTGATTAAAAATTGGCAAAAATTAATTAGTGATATAGATTTTACCGATTTGGCTGCATTATTAATTCAAGATCAAATCATAACAGTTGATGAATATCAAACAATATTAGTACAAACAGAATCGAGAGCAATGGAAAACTTTTTGGTTATGCTTTTGAAAAAAGATGAAGAAACCATACTTAAATTTGCTGAAATTTTAAAAAAAGATTACAGTTGGATTGCAAATAATTTATTGGATGGTATTGTGAAAGAGGAAGGTCATGATGAAATCGATGCATCACCAGTCACAAGATTAGATGTTAAAAATGAAATTGATCACGATATAAGTTCTCAAAATACAAATTCAACCAGTGTTGATTGTGAGGATTATCATAGTTTAAATTCACTTAATAAAACAAATAAAATGAATAACACATTCAATTTTTTAAATAATAAAAGAACAATTATCGGACGTAAAAGGGTATTGAAAGCAAGAATTAAAAATGATTTTCGTACAAAGTCCCTAAATACAGATTCTTTTATAACATCAACAACTGATATTATTAAAAAACCCATTAATGATGGTAAAATAAAATTTAATTTAAATTATTCAATGATAACAACACCCATTAAATAAATATTGAAATGTAAACATTTTGTTTTTTAGATGTAACTGATGAAGTTATTTCAATAGTTCGCAAGAGTCCATTAATTTCAAAAAGCTGGACAACTATTGCACATGCTTTGGGACTTACTGATAGAGTTCATGAAATACGATTTAAAGTTGTTTTGCATGGAGAAGATTTAAGTATGAGTGTGGTGTACCTTATAAAAGATTGGGTTGAAATGCATCCTCAAACTGC